AGAGAGAGAGAGAGAGAGAGAGAGAGAGAGAGAGAGAGAGAGAGAGAAGGTGTGTGTATAAAACATCTTTTTTATCCATTCATCTATCAGTCCACACTTGAGTGGCTTCCTTATTTTGGCTACTCTAAGTAACACTGCAATAAACACGGGGGTATATATATCTTTTCTGAATTAGTGTTTTCATTTTCTTTGGGTAAACAAAAATATTTTTTTTTAAGTTTCCAATTCTTTTTTAGCAAATTTCTTTTTAGCAAAGAAGAAAATAGGAATGATTTTAAATCACACCAAATTAAATATATGGTGTTCAGCCTATTTTTATGAACCAGTAGGCTAAAATTTAATTCCTCTTTATCCACCTTATTACCAGATTCTCTTTAAGAAGCAGTGTCCCTGGGGCGCCTGGGTGGCTCAGTCAGTTAAGCGTCCAACTCTTGATTTCAGCTCAGTTCATGATCTCACGGTTCATGAGTTTGAGCCCTGCATCAGGCTCTCTGCTGTCAACACAGAGCCCGCTTCGGATCCTCTGTCCCCCTCTCTTTGCCCTTCCCCAGCTCAAGTTCTCTCTCCCTCTCTCTCTGTCTCAAAACTAAACAAACATTAAAAAAAAAAAAAAAAGCCAAGTCTTTGGCTCTTTGACGCTAATTTTGAGACTGTGCTCTAACCTACTTTTCCAACCTTTTCCATGTCAGGACATGCACAGAAAATGATCAATATCTGTATGGCACATGCACATAAACTCAAAAGGCTTCTCTTAACCAAAAGTGATCTATTGGGAGGCTACAGCCACCCTTAGGCTGAGGGAATCATTACCTCAACACATGTATAATTCATTCATGGTCCCTGTGATGGGAAACTGTACTAGCCAATGTTTTACATGGTTATCTACTAATGTAGGAAGAAGTCTTCCTCCTGCTGCAATGCCCACGTATTGGAACAAAAGACTGGTAGTCCTCAGCCACCTGAGAGGGCCAGCAGCATTATCTGGGAATCCAAGAAGCCATTCCTTTGAAAATCTGCAGTTTATAATGTTGACTAATGCTCTGAGACCATCAGAGAAAACAGATGCCCAAATATCCACTTCTGTCTCATCCAATGCAATTTTATAACCCCAGGGAGGGGCCAGTCAGCAGTACAACTTGAAGGAAACTAACACGAATTAAAAGAAAGAAAGAAGTCCCAGAAACAGGTCAGTCTGCGTACTCAGGTGGTAAAATAGCATTGATTAGCATGCACAAGGAGCAGTCAACTGCTTAAAATGAAACTGGGCCCAGAACACATATGATTAGCTATTATGTACTGACTAAAAATGTTTCCAAGGCCACTTAGAGCTCTCTGATTTCAAGGTTTCTCAAACAGAAAAATAATTACAACACAGTATTTCCCTTCAACAGCCTTAAATACACTTGTAAGGCCAAAGCAGATGGGAAGACATGAGCAGGCAGGCAAATAGGTTGAGATATAATTATAAAATGACTTACACATTACTGCTCACCCAACTTAAAAGTTAAAATTTCCAATATGCTTGATACAAAAGCATATTTGTACAAGGTTATTAATTGAAACATTATTTGTAATTGTAAAACATTGGAAACAACCTAAATATAGGAGCCAAAACACAGGAGAATTGTTGAATTCACTGTGACCCATCCAAAGATGGAGTACTATGAAGCTGTTAAAAAATAATACAGAGGGGCGCCTGGGTGGCTCAGTCTGTTGAGCATCCGACTTCAGCTCAGGTCATGATCTCACAGCTCATGAGTCTGAGCGCCATATCAGGCTCTGTGTTGACAGCTCAGAGCCTGACGCCTGCTTCAGATTCTGTGTCTCCTTCTCTCTCTCTGCCCTTCCCAGCTTGTGCTCGCTCACTCTATCAAAAATAAACAAACATTAAACAAAATTCTTACAAACATAAAATGATATACAGGGTATACGGTTAAATAAAAGAGGCAAAGTCCAGCGCAGTCTGTGCTGCCAGTGCAGAGCCCTACATGGGGCTTGAACCCATGAACCGCGAGATCATGACCTGAGCCAAAACCAAGAGTCCCACTTACCCAACTGAGCTACCCAGGCACCCCCGCCCCCCAACCAGTATAGCTTTAACTTTTGGAACCATGCTAATGTTTTATACATTCAAAAAGTAAAATAAAAATCAGCCTTGAAAGAAAAGTGAAAAAAAATCCAAAATGGGAATCAAATGCAAATGAACCCAAATGTAAATCAAATAAATAAGTTTATTAAAAGACAGAAAGTAACCTAAGGGGCTTTTGAGCATAATACTTTATATATTGTCAGTATACAGATAAACATAACTATAAACAAATATTGAACTCTAGTTAAAAGGGGTTTTCTTTACAATGGTATGGGTTAGCAGTTCTGGAACTACTTTCTCTGATTATGGCACACAGAACAAATAAGTACATATACTGAGGAAAATGAGAACCAGATTTTCAATGTCAGAGAAGAGCATTGCAAATATGAAAAGGCTGTTGAAGGGAAATACTGGGCAAGACCAGACCTGTGTTGTTGAATTGGAATTATAAGGATTAATATGAACTCACACACACATACACACACACACACACATATAGACATGTGCATGTGCATTTATTTATATTTCTTAGCTCTTATCTGCTGAGAGATCCTAGTTTACAAACATCACTCCCACTAAACAGAATAAGGAATACTTGGAAAAATGGCTGACTCCAAGGCTGGGGAAGGCGGAGTATAAGACGAGACTGGAGTATCCTGCTGTGTCAGAAAGTAAGAAAGAGCTCAAAGAACAATTAGGGACATGTCAAAACTATAGCTTAAGTTGCCCCCACTAGTCATATATGCTAATATGAGCCTCAAATTATAACAGTATCACAGAATAAAATTAAAAAAATCTATGAGTCCATACTAATACAATAAATGAATAAATAAATAGGTGGGAGAGAAAGGAAAGCTCTTCTTTACAGAATACTAATATATTTAGAAGAAATACAAATTAAAAATTCAACATCGTAAAAAAAATTTCAACATCTCACAACCATCCTACTAATAAGTGATTCAGTCAAGAATCATCAATGGATGCTAAATTGTTGGGTGAAAGCTTGGAACAGCATATACACACAAATTCTAAAGGACCTCCGAAAAAGATACTAATAGCAAAAGGAAAAATAATAACTTTACAGTGGAATAACGTTGTAAATATGACCTTAATACTGGAAGTTAACATTACCAAAAATGAGACAAACCAACATCATATACCTCTTGATAG